ATGCATGGATAAATAGATGCTCAAGCTAAACGGGGGTGGGCAGGCGAATGGGATTACACCAGTGAACATCTATGTTGTACATAGGTTTGACATTGGGTATTTCTACATATGTATTTACCTACACTCTAAATATACCCATGAATATAATAGTGCATGTTGTTGTTGTTAAGTGCCATCAAGTCGATTCCGACCCATAGTGACCCTGTGTAAGGTTTCCAAGGAGGGACTGGTGAGCTTGAACCACCAACCTTGCAGTTCAAACGACTATGCAGTCTGACGCATCAATCCACAGCGCCACACCAGGTCTCCATAATAGTGCATACAGGGTCAAAGTTATGAAAACTTCTTAGCTTTGAGAGAATGAATTACTGGGCCTGGGGGCTCAGGACCATAGTTTCAGGGGACATCAGAGTCACAACTACAATATTCTACATTGGTGACTGACCACTGGGATTTTTAAAAGCTTATGAGCAGCTTATTACATCTAAGGTGTAACTATTGGTCTTTGTCTGGAGAAAATAAGAGTGAAGAAAAACCAAAGGTGCAAGGAAACAATTAGTTCAAACAGCTAACGGACCACATGAATCCCAGTCTTCATGACCCTGAGACAAGAAGACCTAGATGGTGCCTAGCTACTACTTCTGACCACTCTGAAAGGGATCACAATAAGAGGTCCTAGACAGAGTGGGAGAAAATGTGGAACAAAATTCAAAATCATAAAAAAGACCAGGCTTACTGGTCTGATAGACTATGGCCCTTAGACACCCGTCACTTTTGGAACTGAATTCATCTCCATGACTCTATTTTCAGCCAAACGATAGGCCTATAAGGTAAACAATAACACAATGTTTAGAACAATCAACCATGTGAAATCAAAAGGTCATTTGTCCAGGGATAAAACTCAAAAGGAAGAAAGGGATAGGAAAAAAGGACAAAAGGAAAAAGTAAATACAGGGAGGAAGTGGTACACAGGAAGGAAGTGGGAAGAGTGCAGTTCCATTGTGGGGATTGCAATCAGTGTCAAAAAACAAAATTTATGGATTGTTGAATTGAAAATCTGTTTTGTAAACTTTCACACATACACACACACACACAGTTGCTTTCCCTAGAGCTTCAATTTCAGGGACTTTCATTCCTTGCATTTCCTGAGATGTGATAGGGGAAAGTCTGTCTTAATCTGTTCTTGGAATTTCATTCGGCTGCCAGGATTAAACCTTTCCTCTAACACAGGGGTGGGGAACGTCTGGCTCAAGGACCGTATGGTGGTGGTAGTGGTGGTGGTGTGCCATGGAGCCGGTTCCGACTCATAGCAACCCTTTATGGGTTTTCTGAGGCTGTAAATCTTTATTTAGGGAGCAGAAAAGAAAGCCTCATCTTTCTCCCACAGAATGGCTAGTTGTTTCTAACTGCTGACCTTGAGCTTAGCAGCCTGACTCGTAACCACTATGCAGCATAGTTATGTGAGAACTCTTAAAAAGAGTAGAAAGGAAAAGCCTTTATATTCTTTCTGGGGAAACCCAAGAGAAACCATTGAAAAACTATTAGAATCATTTTATAGAGGAGCCAACTACTAAATAAAAATCAGTATAAGTTAAACAGGAGAAAGAAGAGATTCCGACAACAACCAAAAAACCCCATAAAATTCTTAGAAATAGCTTTGTTGTTGTTGTTGTTAAGTGCCATCGAGTCGGGTCCGACCCATAGCGACCCTGTACAGGGTTTCTGAGGGTGTAAATCTTTACGGGAGTAGAAAGCCTCATCTTTCTCCCGCGGAGCGGCTGGTAGTTTCGAACCGCTGACCTTAAGGTTCGCAGCCCGATTCGTAACCACTACGCTACCTTAAGTATCTAAAATTTGACTAAGGAATATTCGAATATTCGACTAGATGTAAAGGGTAAGACATTCATGTTCTTGAATGGGAAACCTTGTGTGAACTATGCTGCCTGACCAATGCTGAGATGTTGGCTGGAGGTCATGATGTGTCGTGCCCAATGTAGTGGGTGTTGTTGGTACTGTGAAGTGCTGTTGAGTTGATTCTGATTCATAGAGACCCTGCAGAAATTTTCCAAGGAGCGGCTGGTGGGTTTGAACAATCAAGTCCAGTGCTTATCCTATAGCGCCACACCAGGACCCCAATATACTTGGTATTAGAAGTTACTACTGATGCATGTCCACTCTTGTGCCCTGACCACAGGCTTTATTTATAACAGTGGTAGGGTGGGCTGCACTGACTGATCCCTTGGCTTTGGAGGTGTCAACCCAGAGGTTCCCACGATGGTTCCAACATCCCTATTCTAGTTTTAGCTCTTGGTCTTAGCTGGTGGTGTCTGACTGTGGATGAGCCCCATCACAAATTTGTTTAAATATGAAATTGTTCTGTGAAATGTTTTCACAGATTACAGTAAGGTTAATTTTATTTTAGATAGTTAGAAATATCTCTGCCTCAGTGGTATGGTGTTGGTGGTGTACCCTTGAGTCAGTTCTGATTCACAGAGACCCAGTAATGGATTTCTGAGGTTGTAATTCTTTACAGGAGCAGAAAGCCTCATCTTTCCCCCATGCTGCAGTAGTATAAAAAAATAGAATTTTCCTATACTTAGATATTCATCAAGTTCTAGGGAGAGTTAATCACTTAATAAGATTATTCTACAGTTGGTTTACTGGGAATTATAGCAGAAGACTTTTTAAATGAGTTTGACAGGGAAAGGACAGCAACATAGATTTTTGTTTGTTTTTCCCACGTATAGATTTTTAAAAACCTGATTTGGTTTCAGTACATTTCGTCATTAAGCTTATATAAACAAACAAAACACTAAACAAGCCCTTAGACTCTTCATTGAAAATGTATTTCATGTTAAATACAATGTACACATCATGCAAATGAGGCATCACTATAGTCACAATGGCTCTGGAGATACAACAGATCACAACAAAACAAACATTTAGCAAAATAAAGCTGGGAGCTGGTGAGGCATTTTCGGAAAGACAGAACCATGCTGTCATATTCTGTGTGCTTTAGGGATTTTATCTCTGATATTCATCAAGCTAAATGGTACTGCATCACTGGAGGCAGATATTTTATTTATTATATATACATACAATATACATACACAAACATACAGTTTCTGTGAGTAATAAATTTTTAAACTATAGCTGTGTTTAATAGTACATGAACAAGATTACTACTGAGACTTCTTTATACCTTCTGGTCTCACATATCTCTCACAATTATGGATCTTTCCAAACCCCTCATTTTACTAGTAAAATCGTTTAAGAAAAAAAAGATCATTTTAATCTGACAGTCTTATCTTTTACCACAAGAAATAAGAGAAAACACCATTATATGTCATAAAATGTGGGGAATATACAATTCTATTGTCATCCCCCCTTCCCCATCCAGATGCTTTTATGTTACAATCTGTAAAGTGACATGTTGGGTCCAACTCAGGGCCCTTGGATTCAGAGCACTGTGGTTTTCATTTGGTCCTTCTATGAATCAAAATGAGCAAACTCAGAAACAAAACACTCAAGAGATTCAAGAGAGAAAACATAGCAACACCATGAAAACCGACCAATTATCTAAACATGAGACATGTCATTTGTTCATACATTCAATCCAAGAGCCACTGCATAGTTTAGAGTGACTACAATTTGTAGACTTTAAGGTGTAACATGAAAGGGTCTTGCTATCTTCAGTTGCTGATGTATATAAGAATAAACATAATAAAACAGAAATCATTACACGCTGTTCCATTACTTCCTTACTCAACCAGTCTCACTACTTTAACCCCAAAGAGTATCATAGGGTAATACATTTTGCAGGAGGTTAAGTTAAATAACAATAAGGGTTTCTTGATATAACCTTCCAACAAAGACACTTGGGATGAGGGTGGAGAAGCTGGGGGTGGGTAGTGAGGGAATCCTGAATTTCTTCTTTTAAACAAAGACAAGGAGATTTGCAGCTCAAGTTCAGTATAGGTTTAAGTAGAGTTTAGATAAATATGTAGAATATTTACAGAAAAAGATATCTAAATGTTTATGCACTCCGACTTTGGGAATAAGGATGGCTATAAAGTAAATTTCCAAGCTGTAATCATTTAGACTACTCAGGGGATCACTAGAATTCTAGAGAAGTGCAGGAAGTGCTTTATCAGCCGCTGAAGCTTCTAAATAGAACTGGAACATAAGACTTTGCTAAAGCTCAACACAGCAAAAGTCTCAAGGTTTCTACCAAGAGTGGCCAGTGTTTGACACACTACCTAGGAATGCAGTTACATTCAGGTCTAATCATTTGGAATCCAGTGGTTAAGAGTGGCAGAGGTTCTTCAGATGGGCAGCAGCTCGGATAGGACCACCAGCAGCTTCTTGGGTGCTTCGAATACCACCTGTGTCCATTCAAAAACAAAACCAGGTGAGACCAATGAATTTGAGGCGCACTGGTGAAACACTTCTAGAAGCACTGCAAGACAAAAAGGTCAAAAGTGGGGGGCACCTTCAGGGTGCATACTGCGTTTCTTTCCTCCTTTATACTCTCTGTTATGACTGAAATATAGATGACTGCTTTGGCAGAATCCATGCCCAACACCTCAATGCATATGAATAATGCAACATAGAATACAGGATGTCACTGAGTAAAACCAGTGGAAAAATTATTTTCTTAACAAGGTCTTGAAACTCTATAAAAGCATTCTTGCCTTGCCTCTAAGACCCATTATTAGTCAAACCTTCAGTCTAGGTTTCTCAACCTTTCACGCATACACTCCCTGTTGGGGAGGGCACTGAAGGCTCTTATCTGAAGGATTCACTTGAAGTCTACCTCAAGTCTTGTGTGTGCTGTAACATACACTGTACTATATTCATGTTTATATTTTTCAAACAAAATGGACCTTGTAGGAGGCTGAGTGATATGTATTCAATATTCCCAAACCTCACGTAGAGAGTGATGGACACAAGACTAGCATCAAAATACTGTACCTTTTGTTAAAGGGATGCTGGGTTTGTCAACAGAAGGTATTCAGAGAGTTTTCTTGGCTAGGACTATTAAATCCTTCGATCAGGTTTTTGTTACAGTCATCCAGGCTGAGATTCTCACTGGATCTTTTGGAGAATGCTGGGGGACCAGTAAAATCTAAGAGATCTTGAAGCGCTCGGGCATTACCAGTTCCATTTTGGTCCAGAGACCCCCCAGGAATCATTTCATTCACTGGTGAAAAGTCTGGGATGGAGATAAGCTCTTCTTTTGAAACAGGACTAAAGGAGGGAGAGAGAAAGAGAGAGAACAAGAACTAGTACAACATTCTGGAGCCCATTAGGCTGGATGAACCCCTGAAACAACTGCCCTAAGATAATCTTTACATCAAAAATATCCCCCAATGTCTTCTTAAACCCAAACACTAGTTTAGCCTAGCTAGTGAAAAAGTTCAGCCTTAATGGTGTATCACCTTTCTTGTAAAACTGGAAATGGAAATACTTTATGATTTAGCAAATCCCACTCCTGTGGAGTGCTGGTGTGGTGCTATAGAATAAGCACTGTACTGAAAGGTCACTTTGAACTGCAAGCTCAGTAGTTCAAACTCACCAGACACTCCTTGGAAACTATACAGGGTTGCTATGAGTCAGAACCAACTCAACAGCACTTAACAACAACAATGTACATGTCCTAGAGAAAAAAACAACCAGTGACATGAATAGAAATATGCACACCCATGTTCACTGCGGCATTATTCACATAGCAAAAACATGGAGACAACAGAAGTGTCCATCAAGAGATGAACAGACAGACTAAATATGTTACATGCATACAATGGAATTCTATGCAAAGATAAAGAATAATGATGCGTCCACAAAATATCCCTAACATAGAAGAATCTGGAGAATATTATGCTGAGTGAAATAAATTCATCACAAAAAGGCAAACATCGTATGATACCACTTTTATAAAACATCAAGAATAGGTTTATACACAGCAAACACTGTTCCATGACTACAGGAGAGAGAGAAGGAGAGAGGAAATCACTTACTAGTCAGAAGATGTGTTAATACTGGTGAAGGGAAAGGCAATACACAGTATGGGGAAAGTGAGTACAGCATGACCAAGGTAAATGAAGACCCTGAGGGGTACACAAGAATAAAAGATGCAAGTGGGCGCTGTGGGTGTCAGTGGTTCCAGGGGCTGAGGTCATCTCAGGTGAGGAGGTGACTCTGAAAGCGGCTTAGGTTTTGGCGCCTGGGTGTTGCAAAGAGCCTGCAGCTCCTTCTACCTTCCCTGCAGTAACCATGGTGAAAGGCAGTGTAGTTGAATGATGATCACAGATGGGGACACTCCACACAACTCCAACTGGAGGATGGGCAGTGGGGACAAAGGCATTGGGTAGCAGAGATCACATCAAAGAGAAAGCCCAGGCAGAAGCTGGGCCAAGAAAAATGTCACTCCTTATATTGGTGTCCATTTTCTTATCTTCAGCTTTTGTTATGTTTTTGGTATATAAATTATTTGCCCCAGCTTAGTGAAGAAGAAGGTTCCCAGATATGTAGGACACCAAGGCTCTAGGAAAAGTTTCCAATATATCTCAATATAAGGACAACTTTTTTTCAATGTTTTATTGTGAATTATGTGATAGTTTACATGGAAGAACATTAGCTTTACATTCATCCTAACATCCTTACATTGCCATGGTTACAATCCCTCCATGCATCATCAACCAACCAAACAGTATATCCTGCAAGCCTGTTGCATGGTTGTCAGCACACAGCCCTTTTCCCTCTCTGGGTCTTAAGTTCCCAACTGCTCCATCTCTCCACATCATCATCTCTGCAATCACTGTTTCTCTGGGTAGGGTCCCGCACTGTGCTCTTCTCCCTTGATGGTCCCAGGGACCTCAGCTCCTGGACTGCAAAGTCAATCACTCCTCTCCTTTTGCTACAAAACATCTACCTTTACATTTCCAACCCTTACAATCAGTCCTGATAACAATTATTCAGTATTGCACCACATGAATGCTATCCACGTCTCCTTTCATCAGCCCCGCCCAGACAGATTGGATACTATTCAGTGGAGATTCTACCTTCCTCCATGCCCTCTGGATCTAGGCTCCCTCTTGAAAGCTTGTGAGCCAGTCACTTCTTGCCTTTGTAGCCACCCCCCCATTTTCGATAGCCAGTGTCCAAGTTGCCCATCCCTGTCTACCCTGTGTATCGAGGTAGTGGGAATGATCCTTGAGCTACTGCATCCATAGGTGTAGGTCAAGTTCATCAAATTGTATCAGATTACTCTTTTTTTCCTCTTCTTTCTTCTTCTACTTGAGCTCTGATCATCCAGTCATTAAAGCCAGGTCAAGTGGGTATTATCTGCAAGTGTGGGTGTTCTTGTGCATATGCCCTCTCTTATCAGCTGGACGCTTCACTCTCCACTCTAGTCCTCTGTGGCTATGTCACTGAATCTGAGCCAAGGACACCTTTTATGTACAAGTACATGTAGCTTATTTTGCTACATATATATTCTGGAAGACATTTGCAATTCCAGGCTCTGGATTTCTCAGGGTTTCTTTATCCATTTCCACTAGCCTTATTTCTGGTTTGTGTTCTGGACTCAGTGCCTCATTCTACTATGGTGGTGGTGGTGGTGGTGATGGTGGTGTGCTGTGGAGTCAATTCTGACTCATAGCAACCCTGTATAGGGTTTCCGAGGCTTTAAATCTTTATGGGAGCAGAAAGCCACATCTTTCTTCCAAGAAACAGCTAATAGTTTTGAACTGCTGACCTTGAGGTTAGAAGCCCGACTCCTAACCTCTACGCTACCAGAGCTCCTTTCATTTCTGCTATATGCTCTCCTATTTAGTTGGGAGACCAATTATATACAAATAGCTAACAGAAAAGGCAGTGAAATAGTCATAGCAGGTTGACTGTCATAGAGAGCATCTCATTAACTACATTATGTATTTTAGAATTAACACCATTTTTGCCTAATTGGTTTATTAATATTACTTCTCCTGTGATAAATGTGCCACTGAAAGTTTCTTTTATTGAAACTTTTCCAGGGACCACACATCCCTCTTTTATAGCTATCAAAGTAGGAACAACACTTACAATAGCAGAGGAAGCTGTTTCCGGGAACTCAGTATTTGTTCTGATGATTTTGACTGTTCTTTCCATCCTGCCATTTTCCACACACACACACACACACACACACACACACACACACACAAAACTAAAGCAGAAATTTGAATAAAAGTCATCTGGGAAGACTCAATGGGAATACACGCTCTCATCAGTGACCACGCTCATCACCGATAAGGGGAAGAGAGGGAAAACAGCAATGAAGCTGCAAGCTAAGCCCTCCAATGTTCAATAGACTCCTGTGAACCCAGGTGGAGACCTGGTTGGCCAGCAGTGTGGCAAGACCTGGGGACTCTTGGGCCCAGAGTCAGTGACATAGCTACAGAGGACTAGAGTGGAGAGTGAAGCGTCCAGCTGATAAAAAGAGAGGGCATATGCACAAGAACACCCACACTTGCAGATAATACCCACTTGACCTGGCTTTAATGACTGGATGATCAGAGCTCAACCAGAAGAAGAAAGAAGAGGAAAAACAGAGTAATCTGGTATAATTTGATGAACTTGACCTACACCTATGGAAGCAGTAGCTCAAAAGAGGGAACAAGTCCTTACAGCAAGGATCATGCCCACTCCCTCCACACACAGAGTAGACAGTGATGGGCAACTTGGACATTGGCTACCCAAAATGTGGGAGGCTACAAAGTCAAGAAGTGACAAGCTTTCAAGAGGGAACCTAGATTCCGAGGGCGTGAAGGAAGGTAGAATCTCCACTGAGTAGTATCCAATCTGTCTGGGCTGGGTGGGACTGATGAAAGGAGATGCAAATAGGTCTCTTGTGATACAACAGTGAATAATTGTTATCAGAACTGATTGTGAGGGTTGGAAATGTAAAGGTAGATGTTTTGTAGCAAAAGGAGGGGAGTGATTAACTTTTCAGTCTAGGAGCGGAGGTCCCTGGGACCATGAAGGGAGAAGAGCGGAGAGCGGGACCCTACCCAGAGAAGCAGTGATGCCTGAGATGGAGCAGTGGGGGACTTAAACACAGAGAGGGAAAGGGGCTGTGTGCTGACGACCAGGGAGCAGGCTTGTAGTATATACCCTTTGGTTGGTTGATGATGCATGGAGGGGATTGTAACCATGGCAATGAAATGATATACGACAGGATGAATGTAAAACTAACATTCTCCCATGTAAACGATCACATAATTCACTATAAAACATTTGGGGAAAAAAGTCATCTGGGTTTTAGTTTTCCCACTGCTATCATCATCCTCTTCATCATCATTGTCTCAAGATTAGCAGGCAAAATTCACTTATGTTTTTAAATCACCTCAAACAATTGAGAAATTTATAAAATAAAAATTTTAAATGCATTTAAGTGGCAAGAGGAAAAAAAAAGTAATAATGGAAACTGATACACCATGAAAAGTGCTATCAGTAGTTATGGTAAGCATCTTCTAAATTACTACACAAAGGGTTGTTGTTGTTAAGTGCCCTTGTTTAGGGTTTCCAAGGAGCAGTTGGCGAGCCTGAACCACTGACATTGCAGTTCGAAGGACTCTACAGTCTGACGCATTAGCCCACAGCACCACACGAAGACTACAGATAATTATCAGCAGTGTGGTAGGAAATTTTTTATCCAACTGGTTGATGTAATTTATTATATTTCATGAACTAGCCATACATACTCATGATTTGATAATTTAAGAATATTTTTCTCTTACACCTTATTAACAATTAAAAGTAATACAAAACCAGATTCTGAATTCTTAAGATGTATGTAATTCTGGCTAAGATGAATCTCCTTTCAGAGCAAAACTTTAAAGATTAAAAGAGATTTACACACACACACACACACACACACAAAGAGATTTACAGCATTCTTCCTCCTTTTATCTTCAAGGTAGTAAGATGTTTTTAGAGCTTGCATGTTGGTAAACAACTAAATATGGAAAAGATATCAATTACATCTAGTTTGTGACTTTTATTTCTGTTCTAGATTTTTATCATGGATTAGTTTGAGATTTATAATTCTGACTAGTCTGTTTTCATCCAACTTCCACAATATTTATACTGTGCATATAGAAAAGGAAGATTATACAGTAACTATTATATTTGGTGTTCATAGTTTATATTTTGTTATATAATTCTCCTATGCTATCTCAGAGGGGATCTAAAAGACATCTGTTTTATTT